TTGTGGTGCCCAAGCTTCTCACTGAAGTGGCTTCCTCTGTTTCTAGGGTGGTTGGGCTCAGTACTTGTGGCACATAGGCCCAGCTGCCCTGCAGCATGTGGAATCTTCCTGGAGCAGGGATTGAATCCATGGGAAGCCCTAATCCAGGTTTTTTGATTTGCAAATACGAGATGCCCACTTTGAAGCTGCTAAAGCCAAAGTGGACTGCAATGAAAGAATTCTATCTAAAAACTTCTGAAACCTCAAGGATCGGGTTCTCCTGAAGAAATCCAGAAATAGAAAGGCTTTAAGCAGGGCCGGAAGCTTTTCAGAGCACAAACACAACACTGTGTTCGCGGCCCCTGTTGTTCAGTCTCTGCCCCTGTTTCTCTTGATGTCTGTGCTTCCTTCCTCTTTCTGCAGAGAGTGAGAGTCTTGGCTTCCTCCTGGAAACACATGCCTCTGGAGCTCTCCTAAAAAAGCCTCACCTTCCTTTCAACTATGCAGGGATTCCTTTGTTGATGAATCCCAATGTGAGAGGGACACACGCAGGGGCTGGCCCAGCCTGGATCAACCCAGGCCTGTCAGCCCTAAGGTACAAATGTGGCAGAGGTGGGGAAGCACTTTGTGGCTGAGAAAGTGAGAGAAAGGGGTGGGTGTGAGTTGGGCCGACTGTGCTAAAGGTTCCCCCTGTAATTGTTGAAGAGAGACAGGAATAGTTGGGGAATAGAAGAGAGGAGAGGGGAACAGTGGTACTGAGAGAAACGTGGAAAACTGGTGGCTATTCAAGAAGAGAAAATCAAAGGGGTCGGGAGGAAATAGCAGAGGAGAGTGCTTAATAAACTAGAATTCTTTGAGCTGCATGAAACTGAAAACCTTTCTTACAGTGCCTTCCCCAGCAAGTTCTCTCCTGTGACAGGAAGTCCTGAGAGGTTAAGTCAGCGAGGCAACAACGGCAAGAAGCCCAGGTTCTTTTCACTTTCTCATTCTGCCTGGCTTGGTGTGGTCTTTATTATTGTCAAATGCAATTACATCCAAGGCCAAAAAGAAAACTTCTCTTAGATGTGAGGAAACACCCAGCAGATTCTCCTCATTGACCAGAAGTGTGTCTCATGCCCATTTCTGAACCAAACACTGGTCAGAGCCAAGTTTGGCTCAGAAGGTCAAGATTCACCCAGTGGAGCTGGGCTGGGGCTCATCTTCCCAAGCATACGGACATGAAAACAGCGGGGACCTTGAAACAGTGGGTGGGGAGGCAGTCGGCAGTGCTGGCCACAGAGAAGGAAAAGAAAAATATAGGACTAGAGGAGCAGAGAAACAGACAGTGAAAGACAGAAAGGAGGGAGGCAGAAAGGTGGTGGGGAGAGCGAAATACAGAGAGAGAGACAAGCTCATAAAATCTGGTGTCTTAGGTTAAAATGCTATTGTCATATCTTGCTGCTTAGCTAGGCAACTATTAGAAGAACATGCTTTACCTATTCGTACTGCCATTGAAAGATTAATTATGTTTTCAGTATTTAAACTTATTAACCATTTTTTTCAACCTCAGAATTATAAAGGAGATGGTTGTAGGGGAGTCTCTGGGGAGAAAATTACTCTCATTGTTTTTTTCCCTTAAAATAGGCCAGAATTTATTGAGTCAAGAAAGTCAGTGCTGAAATAAATAAAATGATTAGTTATTTGTTTGTCTTTACTTACAATTTTATCTTTGTCATTGTAAAAGCAATATAACCACATTAAATAGAAACCAGAAACATGAAAACACAATCACCCACAATCCCATAGTGTAACAACTATTGTAATTTCAAAAGAATTAACACCTAAATATTTTTCATACATAGCCTATTCATTAACAAGGGAAAGTGTGCATATATAAACTTTCCATTCTTCTTTGTCAACACGATTTATTATTATTATTATTTTAAAAAATGGCAGCCTACACTGTATACCATTTTTCATCTTGCTTGTTTCATTTAACTTTCCTATTACTTTGAGATATTTCCACAAAAATAAAATTGAACATTATAATACAGTCACATGTTACCACATACTCTTTATAATCATCATCCTTAATGTCTGTAGAAGATTTGAGTAAATGGCTCACCCATTTTTAAAATAAATATTTATCAAGCACCTGAAACACTGGCAGGGTGCTAGTAATTCTAAGATTAAAAGGAGATGGACCACACCCTTGAAGGAGGGCACAGCAGAGGAGAGGAGACAGGCAGGTAAATAAGTAATTACAGGTAGTCTCCAAGTGCCAAAATGGGAGAATGGAGGAGGCGCTGGGGAGATGAAAGAGGGAGCCTGGGAAATGCTGACTGAAGGTGCTGAGGATAAGTAAGAGGGCTCAGCTCACAGACGCAGGGCAAGGAGAGTGCTTAGGGAGAGATCAGGAATGATGTGTGCAAAGAAGAGAAACACGAAGCAATGTCGTGGTCCAGAGGGCTACAGGGAGCTGGGTACAGTCCCTATTCTAGCATCTTTAAGTTGTCACCAAGTTTTCAGTATAGCTGTGATGTACAACTTGCGGCACAGAACTTTTCTCATATTTTGGAGTATTTTGTTGGCTAGATTCCCAGAAGTGGGACTGCTGAGTCAAAATGTAGGAGCATTTTGACCTACCACATATATCCAAAATGCTTTCCAAATGGATGGAATCATTTTATAATGACACCAGCAATATATGAGCAAGCCATTGCTTATTATCTCTATATCTTTACCACTGAGTTAACATCTATTTCTTCAATTACTGTAAAGTTAATTTTCACCGTATTTATTACTATTTGATGTCTTTGTATGTGATCTGTTTTCTGCTTTTATTCAATCACTGAGATTTTGTATTTCGCTTTATTGTATGAGCCCTACTAAGATATTCATACTTTTCTGTTTATATTTGCTGTCACCATTTTTTGGTTTAAGTTTCTATGTAATATTGATCTATTTGACTATGTTGGGTCTTAGTTGCGGCATGCAGCATCTTTGCTCTATCATGCGGGATCTAGGCGCAGTAATTGTTGCACTTGGGTTGCCCAGTTGCATGCAGAATCTTAGTTGCCTGATCAGGGAGCGAACCAGCCTCCCTTGCATTGCAAGGCAAATTCTTAGCCACTGGACCACCAGAGAAGTCCTCTATGTTCTTGTTTAAAACAATGTTTGACACATAGAAGTTTTAAGCTATTACCCAGTCATCTCCACTGATTATTTCCTTCTATTGCTTCTAAGTTGAGAAATACTTCTAGCCAGAGGTTTAACAAATAGCATTCTATTTTCATTGGAAAAGACACTGATGTTGGGAAAGATTGAAGGCAAAAAGGAGAAGAGGTGGCAGAGGATGAGGTGGTTAGGTAGCATCACAGACTCAATGAACATGTATCCGAGCAAACTCTGGGAGATAATGAAGCACAGGGAAGCCTGGCATGCTGCAGTCTACGAGATCACAAAGAGTTGGACATGACTTAGGGACTGAAAAACAATTATATTTTCTGGTTTGCTTTAAAAAACATATTTAACTCATAAATCCTCCTTGAACTTGGCTTTGACATATGAAATGAGAATTCAGCTAGTCCCCCTGCCCCAAATTACCAGAGTTATCTGAACTTCTCCTCCTCTGTTGGGGTTTATTTCAAAGACAAATCCTGCTTAGGATCAACTCAGTCATCAGCTGGATATAATTTCTAGTACTTTTCTGAGTTGTGGCACATCACCTTAAGATAGACATTTCCTCTGACTTACCCAGGAATCTGCAATAACTGCTTTACTTACATATATGAAGAATTACAATGTAGCACCAACAGCTTATGTAAAGTGTGGCAACACCTTCCTGTTAGTGGGGAATCTGCTGCTAAGCGTAGACTTTACCTTTGAAACCCACCAGATTGGTGGTAGTCTGCTGTGTGCTTTGGCTGGGTAGAGGACACTTTTGAGGTAGAGAGTCTTGTTTCATCCATAGGGCCGAAGTCACTGTTAACCAGTGTCATAATTCTATGATCTTCTGGTTCTTCCACCTTTGTGGGGACCCTGGCTCTTACCTGTGACCTCAGTATAGAGCTAATCCCTCTCAAGGCCAAGCCTATTTAAGTGTGGTTTATTGCAAGGAAGAGTAACTTCTTGCTCCTCCTTGTAGGCTATCAACTAGCTAGCTAGGTTTTGAGAAAAGTGAGGGGGTGGTTAACTAGGGAAACCCTATGCCAAATGTTATCAAGCCTACTGAAGGATCACTTGGGAGCTTAGGAAGCATGCAGATTTCTGTGCCCAGTACCAGGTTTCACCTGGCATGGGGCTGGAAAGTTTCTCTGATCTCATCTCTTTGCAGCTTTTTCAAGCCTTAAAAACATACCCACAGATGTTTACACACAGTTCTGAGCAGTTCTTCATTCTTTTTCCCTGAAATACTGATACCTGCTAGCCAGCACCTATGCAAGTGCCCCAGGAGGAAGGCAGATACACAACTAATGGGCACATTAATGCCTGAGCAGGGCTCCAGAATAATTTCTAGCTTCGTTCTATCCTTCCTCAGAGGTCAAAAGCTTAGTCGTTCATGATCTGTAAACCCAATTCGGATTCCCCAGAAGACCGTCCTAGAACTCCAGGATTCCTCCTTAGAGTGAGGACCGGTCAGGTTCCTTCGGCACTATTCCGTCTTGTTGGGGGCATTTGCAGTTCGGATTTCTGTCGGCTACAGGCCCTAGGGCAAGGATCCTGTCGTGCGTCGGATTCCTTTGGGCCATCTCTCCTTCCTCGTCCCCGTCTCCTGGATAAGCCTCTCTCTCCCGCAGGTGGGGAGGTTGAGTTGGAGCCACATTCAGGGGAATTCAGGGGACTTTCCTATGCAATCCTCCGGATTCGCTCCCATTTCCCGTCTCTTCCCCCTTTCCCTAACACCTTATCCTTCCCCCCCAGCAAAGTCCACGACCTCCCAGCAAAGTCCACGACCTCTTTCCTCGTCGCCTCAGTGGCCCGGCGTCTTTTCTTGCTACAAAACCGGAGCAGGGGGTGTGAGTGTGGCTACACCCAGAAGGATGCTCGTCCTGCAGTGGGGGGCAGGGGGAATGATTCGTCCCGAGGATCCCAACTCAACCAGCCCTCTCACCCCGAAACGATCCTTTCCCCCTGGTCCCTCCAGAAGCTGTGTGCTGCCGTCGGTGGCAGAGGGGGACCATCAACCCCAGTCACTCCTCCAAGGCTGCTCCCAATGGGCGCGCTCCGCGGGCATCCTTACACCTCCCTTCGGCCTGCCATCCTCCCTACCTACCCGCAGTGCTCGGGGGTCCACGGCGCTCCTGGCTGGCCTGAGAAGGGGCGGGGATGAAGCGAGCGGGAGGAGCGGAGGGCGCTGGAAGGAGGGGCGGCGAGGCTACGTTGAGCCTCCCGCCGCCCGGGAGCGCCCGAGCCCGTGCGCGCGCGCACCTCACCGAGGCTCGAGGGGCGGGCGGCGGGCGGCGGGCGGAGCTGAGGGCGGTGCGGGCGGAGCGATCGGCGGGCGGAGCGAGGGGTGGGAGGGAGCGCGCGAGCGGGCGGGCGAGTAGCGTCTCCACCAGCATCGGCGGCGGTCGCGTTTGCCCGAAGCCCGGAGGCTGACCATCGTCCGGCGGACGGGCTTGGGAGCTCGCCTTGTGCTGGGGGCCAGCCTCAGCGAAGCTCGGGGCTTGCAGCCTGCTTCCCTACCCGCTCGCGGCCACCCCGGCTCCGGCGGCCTCGGCGCGCGCCAAGGGCTGGAGGTGTGGGAGCCACTCTCCGCTGCTCGGTCCCTGCGCTGCTCTGCCCGGGTTGGCCGCCGCGCCGCGGCCCCGAGCGGCGTCCCCGATCCCCAGCTTCCCGCCGGCTGCTCCGAGCAACGGTGCTCCGGGGCTCCAAACTCGGGCTGCCGGGGCAAGTGTCTTCATGAACCCAGAGGATGTCCGGGAAGCATTACAAGGGTCCTGAAGTCAGTTGTTGCATCAAGTATTTCATATTTGGCTTCAATGTCATATTTTGGGTAAGTTGGAGCGCTTCTGGGATTTCAACTATTGTGGCTGATCGATTCGCGACGATTTCGCGCACGTTGCTCTCAGCCTTTACTTTTCGCTGCCCCTCGGGCGCTTGTCGGAGCTCGCAGAGGCGTTTGCCTTCCGCCCTTTCAGCCTGCGCGTTGGAGAAATAAACATTTAATCCTTTCTAGGAACGCGCAAAGGTAAAAAGAAAAACGGAGCCGGAAAGGGGACACCCAGGCCTTGAGGTTGCTTTTTAAGGGACGAATAACGTAGATGCAGATGAAAGAAAGGGTTCGGCAGTTGGAGAAATGAGCAACCACTCGAATGAGATTTGCTCCCGGTGGAGTGTGGATGTTGGGCAGAGCGTGGTGTCATAATAGGGAAGGCTAATCGGGCAGAGTCGACCCTGAGGTCCACCTCTAACGGGGATCTGATTGGACGAGGGCTTGGCTCCGTGTTGCCGCGGCCAGTCCGTGCCATGCTCAGCGTGTATCTTCTTGCACCATCTCGGGCTTTGTGTAGGATGCAGATGCGGCGGTATATGGTTCTGTAATGTGCACGTAAATATCGCTTCCTGCACGCTCATCTCTTCGTCTTCATCGGGAAAGCGCTCCTTTTGCATAATGGACTGACCAGTGGGTGTGCGGGCTGGAGGTGTTTATTTCTCTGTCTGAATTATTGTCAGGATAATAACAAGTCACCATCAACATATGTTTCAGTGTGTTGGTACCTCACGACCTCCTTTTCTGAGGAGTGACACGTAGAGCGGGCCGTTTTGGGGGAAACCTTGGAGAAATGCAGAGGAGAAGGCGTACGAGACATGTTTTGTGGGGATACCAGGAGAGCAAATGCTTGAATGGAAGGTTCATCCATGCTTTGCTGGCACTACAATATGCTGGGCACCTATTGTAATTAGGCTGGGGTGTCTACTCTTTTGTTTTGTTTGGCTTCTCTTCTTTGATCTCACAAACATGTTCAGCAACCAGACAAAGAGTTCACTAGGACAAGGGGAAACGTTGCTTCAAAGACCGTGTTCTTTTTCTTCTCCATCCCATCCCATTCCATCCTCTTCCTTACTGGGCACTCCCTCCGCCCCCACTATTCCCCCCATGGAAAGTAAAGATGCTGGCTGGCTGGGGTGGGGGGAGTGCTCTCCAAGTTGCTGTTTAGTGTGGATTCAGTGTGAGGTCAACAGTAATCCAGTGGTGGTGGTGGGATCTATGATAATCCACAGCAGTCTGAAGATGGGATGTATTTATTTTGATTCTCCTTTAGTTTTGGCCATTTGTTTGAACATATACATTGATGAGAAGAGTTGTGGATACAGCTCTTTATATTGTTTTCTTCCTACCACGCATTTACTAGGCTATTTTATTTTTATTCTCTGTTTTCTCTAGGAGTGTCTTGCATTGCTCTTGCATGTTTTGCAAAAGGGAATGAGAGGGATTGGAGACCACTCTCTGTGTCAGCATGTCATCTGGCCTCAGGACTGATAATGGGGTGGGGACACATGAATAAACATTAGATCCAGTCATTCACACGCCACTTTTTGCCAGAGGTTGGACATGATTCCTGTTAGCAGTCACCCCCCACCTCCCCACCACCCCCCCAAAGTCAAACACTGCTACAAATGTAGGAAGAAGAAATTATTTTCTTTCCTTGCTTCCTTTTTTTCAACCCTTGTTGGACATATTTAAAAGTCACATTCCTGGGTGAGGCGTTTTGATTTTATCTGAACTTGAAACTTTCATGACTTTGAGAGCCAGGGACTACCGCATTGGGACTGAATCTTCTTGGGGTGGTGAGTTCAAGCCTCTTGATTTTACCTGAACACTTCTGAAAGCTGAACATTTCAGCCACCAGGCAACAAAAAGCACCCAGGGGCTTTCTCTGCAGTTTCATAGCAGGAGGTGGAAAAGAAAGAAAGGGATTTGGACCTGTTTCCCTGACAGTTTGGTGCAATTTTGTAGTGTGTACAGAGGTAGATTTACTGTTTTCTGTGGCTTAGGGTGTAGCAAAACCTCTGGAATTGTAGAGAGCAGTGAAGAACTGCGGAGTGCTTGTGTGGAGACTTCCAAGAGAAAGTCACATTTTGTCTGATTTTGAAGGTCTTCATCTCTTGGGAGGAGTTTTATGGGAACCCTGAGAAGAGACACGGGGCTGTGGAACTAAACCATCTGTCCCAGGCAGAATTGTTATGTAGATACCTTTGTTCTAAGGACCCTTCTCTGACTCTGCTTTCTACACGCCTTGTCCCTCCTTACTGTGCCTCAAGGCTTCCACTCATATACCGCCTTGTACCTTTGCTATCCTGCTGTCTACTTCAAGTTTACCTCATAATTTGGGGAATTATTTGGGAATTACGGAATCTCTGAGTTTGCAGTACCCTGGTCTCCAGAGTGATGATCAGCAGGAAGGTAGCCATGATGTTTGATCACAGTAATTTAGACTTGAGACGTTAGTGACTGAAGAGCCGGGGCTGGCGGCCTGGTCCTGTAAAGTTACGCACCTCTGCTCTCTGCAGTAGCTGTCCTATCCGTGACTGCTGGCTTCAGCAGCCTGGGGCTGCTCTTCCACAGTTGTGAAGAAGACATCGATTACAGAGGACATGGTTTCCTAATCTTTCCACACCGAAACTCTAGGAAAAAAATTTTAAAACATTGTAGACATTGTGAGATAAAGTTCTGGTAAAATAAAACCTGAGAATTTGGTAGCCCTAGCACTAAGTGTTTGGTTCTCTTAGTAACGAGGAGTTTGACTTTTCAGTACTCAGTTAACTGCCCCAGCCTCAGTTTCTCAACTGTTAAGATGAAGAGTTAGTGCTCACTCCAACAGCACATTGGGAGAAGGCAATGGCACTCCACTCCAGTGTTCTTGTCTGGCAAATCCCAGGGACGGGGGAGCCTGGTGGGCTGCTGTCTATGGGGTCGCACAGAGTCGGACATGACTAAAGCGACTTAGTAGCAGCAGCAGCAGCAGCCGACAGCACATATAATAAAATTGGAACAGTACAGGGAAGGTTAGCATGGCTCCTGCATAAGGACGACATGCAAATTCATGAAGTGTTCCATATATTTACGGCCACTATGGAGAACAGTATGGAGGTTCCTTAACAAACTAAAAATAGAACAACCACATGACCCAGCAATCCCACTCCTGGGCATATACCTTGAGAAAACCATAATTTGAAAAGATACCTACACTCCAGTGTTTCTTGCAGCATTATATACAATAGTCAGGACATGGAAGCAACCTAAATGTCCATCAACAGAGTAATGGCTAGAGACAATGTGGTACACATATGAAATGGAATATTATTACCCAGCCTTAAAAAGGAGTGAAATTGTACCATTTGCGAAGATGTGGATCAACATACAGACTGTCAGAGAGAATGAATAATTCAGAAAGACAAAAACAAATATTGTGTATTAATGCATATATGTGGAATCTAGAAAGATGGTACAGATGAACTTATTTGCAAAGCAGACATAGAGACACAGATGTAGAGAGAAAACATATGGATACCAAAGAGGGATGGATTGGGAGATTAGGATTGACATATACACTACTATGTATAAAATAATGACTAATGAAAACCTACTGCAGAGCACAGAGAACTCTATTCATTGCTCTGTGGTGACTGAATGGGAAGAAAATCCAAAAAAGGGGGGGTATGTGTATAGATATAGCTGACTGTAAAGCAACTATACTCCAATTTAAAAAACCAAAAATGAAGGCTTAGTCAAGTTGTAAGTTTCTTTCTAGTTCTGAAAAAAAGAATGGGTCTTTTGAGCTCCAATATGCTGGGGAAGAAAAATATAAGAGATGGGCACTAAAATATAATGAAAATAGCATATATTGGGACACATTAAATTATAGACTTTTTCTCTCAGTGAGATTAGTCTGAAAGTAACTTTTATTAATTTATTTATTTTTCCCTCAAGGATTCTTTCATTTGAAAAAAATCTTTCCCTAATTTCTTCTTGGCTTATTGACTTATTGGTATAATAAGCATACTTTTGTATCCCCACTATGAATCTCAAATGTAGTCTTGTGAGTCATTAAATATATTTTTTATTATTGGAGTTAGAGTTTCATGTGTAAAATCTGGATCCTTTTATATAATACTTGTAATGGTATTCTGAGTAACAAAGTCAACATCTTGTACAGATTCCTTTCTCATTAGTTATCACAAGGTGGCGGTGGGGGAATCTTATTCACCCTATTTTATTTTGGAAGAACTCAAGCCAGAAAGGAATTGATTTTATTGAGGGTGTCACCATACTAGGACATTTCTTGGAAAATCTGAGACTGCTCTGGGGTAGGGGAGGGAAGAGAAAGAGAGTTACTTCTTTTGGGTAATGAAGCTCCACACCCCATCACCCAGCATTAATAGATATTGTGTTCTGAGCTTTTTTAGGTTCTGACTCTAATACATAAAAACTGTTACTAGGCAAGGAAATTGATCTCAGTATTCTGGTTATCTATTGCTATATAACAAACAACCTCAAAACTTAGTGGCTTAAGGTAAAACTTGATTATATCCGACAATTCTG